CAGTGAGCCCCGATGCCCCCGCATTCTATTGCGAGCCAGAACATCATTCATAAAGGTGCCTGCTGCTGTTGGGATCTCGAAGTGGAGGGCCACCTGCATGCGCGCGTCAAGCGCGCGGGTCACAACTGCGTTGCCGTCGGAACTTGGCGCGGAGGTTGAGCGGTGAGCCCCCCAAATGATACGCGAATATTTGACCCGCGTGTTCCTCGAAAACCCAAGAATGACAAGTTTGCGCGCCCGGTCTTGCAACTGACCTTTGTCGCGTGGTCCAGCGGGCGGCGAGAAGCGAGGCGAGCGAGTCACAGGGGTGGAAACCGATGCCATATCTCCGAGCTGCTTCCCACGTGTCTCGACGGGTGTTGAGATCCGCGGGCGCGGCCTCTAACGTGTCAGACTGCGACGGCATCTGCGCCCATGGGGCGCCACCTGGCGATGGCAAATCATTTTGAGAGTCATGCTGTAGCCTCTGAATATCCTGATCCATGTCTCGAACCGATGTCGATGCAAATCCTCGAAGCTCTGGGTGTTTTGTCTGAGCCCCCCGCCCCAACAGAGTCATCTGATCTGAAAGCTGAGAGCACCGTCCCATCGATGGGTTCCAAGCGCCCCGAATATCTTGAACATCCTGTGCTTGGTTCGCAAGTTTCTGGCTGAGCTGCTCCATGCCGCCAATGAGCTCGCGCGTCATGCCCTCGCGCTCCTTGGGCGCGTTGCGGGGGGCGGAGCAAGAACGGCCGCGAGACGGAGTGGGGCCGCGTGGGCGGCGGGGGCCTGGCCGAGGCCCATGGTCTTCAGAATATCGGGAACGATGTTTGCGAGCCACGGCAGCAGTCGGAGGCGAGAGCGGGAGCGGAATGGCCTGCTGCGGCCAGGTGTCAGCAGAGTACGCTGGACGCCGAAAACACGGCCCCGCCTCTAACGGCGCGGGCTGCGAGGACTGGCCGCGCGCTGACCCGGCCAGCTGCCTCGATAGATGTATTAATTGAGCCTCAATGGCTCGAGCCAAAATGGCTCGAGCAAAAATGGCAGCGGGAACTTGGCGGCCTCCACTTGACGCTTCTGGAGGCTGTTGGCTGAGTTTGACCTGGGCCCTGCGGTTAGGAACCCCAAGAGTCTGGAAGATCTGGAGCTGGGACTTCGCGCCTTCGAGCTTAATCGCATGCTTGCTATTCCACGGAACTGGCACTGATGGTTCGACGCTTGCCTTCTAAAAGCGCTGCGCTGTGCTGAGTGCTACGCACAGTTTCGAGGTGCTTCCGTCGGGGCTGCACTTCGTCGCGTTCTCGGTTGTTGGCCCGCGGCGCTGGCGTGCGACCCTGGGGCTCGTTTCGATTGCCGGCCCGTCGTTCCTTCTCGCATCTGGCATGAGCAACTTTGGCGGCAGTGAATATACGTGCCGGGGCTGCGCGCCCGCATCTGCACCCGGTCCGCGACGCAACAATCTTGGGCGATCTGCGCGCGCGACCCCACTCGGGTCGGCAAGGCCCAGAAAAGACATCGAACCATGGGGCGCGCGAGCCCCCCGCTCCTGCCACGAACTCCGCTCGGGGCCACTGATCCCGCGAAGGAGCACGGGGGTGCCCTGAAGCATTGGAACGCAGCCGCCGACCAACAATACAAACGCGCTGTCGCAGACAGCTCAACACCTTCAACCATAATGGTTTGAGCCAAACTGGCCACGGCGGGGAGGGCGATGAAGAGGGGGCGGAAGAGGAGGGAGAGGAGGGAAGAGGAGGAGGAGAAGGAGGAAAGAGGGGGGGGGCGGGGTTGCACCCGCCAGAAAAGGGGCGGGAAGGGAGCAGGCGGACAAGAAGGGGGCGAGACGAGGGCCAAGAGTCAGGCGACGGCAGCGGCGGCGGGGGAGCGCCCCAAGTCCTTCCCTGGCGCGCCTGCAGCTGCAGGCACTTCGACGCGGCGCTGACGAGGCAATCGCCAGCGGCCCGCGGGCGACCTGGGCGAACAGACCTGCGCTGTCGGACAGGCGGCGGGTTAACTGAAGAGCGGCGCGGACTCAACCGCGCACGAGGAAGACAAACGAGGAAAAGGAGGGGGGAGAGCGGAGACCCACGCAAGACCGAGACCCCGAGACAGCCTCTGGACATTCGAGCTCCTCTTAGCTCCAACCCTCAGCCTGGCTCTGAAGAGGCTAAGGGTGTGCTCGGCGGTGCAGCACCTCTGATTACTGGCGCGAAAAATCTGAAACGTGTTATGCATCAATGGCTAGGAGCTGGGACAATAATCATTCACGAAATTCCGAGGAGAAGAAGTGAGGAATGAAGGTGGCACAATCCGTCTCTCCATAGTCTCCAGCAAGCCAGGACTGAACTTGTTTGGCCGCTTCTCGCAGGGCGGGGCATACTGCGTAGCGCCCAAAGTCATCACCCCCAATCGCACAACAAGAAAACCACACACTTGGGCTCCCTGACGATATCGGCGGGTAGTATTCCACTTGTTAACTGTGCTCTGAAGGCACGCGGACATCACGTATCTGGGGAGATATGTGGAGGCAATATTAATCTTCACAGAAAATCAGAACCGCATCCCCAGGGAACGCAAATTGCAACCATGTTTGGAGCTGCGGGGCCAAAAGTTCAGGGGTGGGGGTGAGGGTCATTCTTAGGTCCTGGTTCAGCATCTTTGTGATGGTGGCCTGCACTTGTTTCCACTGGCAGGTGATCGGGCGGTGCGCCCAGAAAAAACTCGCCATGCAGGTTCCACATCCTCAGAAAGAGGCTGTGCTTGGCGCGCGGGCTCCACAACCACGCAATGCAAGCCTCGTCACTCTCTGCGAAGCTGGCCAGCTCTTGCTTCAGGACATGAAACCGAAGGCTATTGAAAGCGGCTCGGATCAGCGAGGCACGGGCGACGATACGGACTAGCTTGCACATTGTGTCCCGACTCTTTCAACTGGAAGAGACTCTGGGGAGAAGCTGAAACGCGGGGAACTGGTCAACCTCTGGAGGCAGTTTTTTTCCGCAAGGGCAACCCACTTCGGTGGTTCCCACATCTGCGCAACGCGTGACGGATGACAGGAAGGCCAAACATGTTATAAGCGGCGATGCTCTATGACAAGCCCCCTCCAAGCTGCTTGACCTGGATAGCCTCTTTTTTACAGAACGTGTTCATCACCTGCCTCCAAGACGCATCTGAGCCCCCGATGCCACTGTAAATCCCAAGATACTTACTGGTGGCCAGGACCGCAAACTCGGACACGTCGACCCCCAACTCCAGAAACTCTTGAACCCGAGACACGCGGAAGCCGGGGCTCGGGATCACGAGCACGCACTTGTTCTTATTCAGGACAAGACCAGCAAAGAGACCAGCACACGCAAGAACGCTGAGGATACGTGGAAGGGCGATGAGGAGGTCCTGGCACGCGACACCGGTGTCATCCGCGAAGGCCCCCAAGACGACCGGTATCCCCGAGAACCACAGCCTGATACGCTTCAGGAATGGGTTGATGCAGATACAAACAATAAGGCCCGAAATCGCACAGCCTTGTTTAACGCCTCGTTCCACTAATATATAGATGGGCTCACACCCATGGATGGGAATACTCATTCTCATATTGGAGTAGATGGGGCGGATGGCACGTCGATCGTGTCGAGGGATGTTTAAACGCTTGACCGCTACCGAGATAAAGTCGTGGAGGACACTGGGGGACGCCGCTTTTATGTCGAAGAAGGCTGTGCCAAACTTCGGACTGATATCCGTTATCGCCATTCGCAACATCGCAGCATCGACCGAGAGCAAGTTATCTAACACCTGACGGCCTTTTCACGGACCCTTTTTGGCACTTCTCCACAGTGCCCTCTACTACCTTGTTCTGAGCGGAACCGACACAGCTGGTGACAACTTTGTTGTCGGTGTTGCTCAACGCCAACGATCTCGTGCAGGCGGGCGTACGGGCCTTGGAACCGCCTCCACCAGGACTCCTTTTCGGCAAGAGGGATCACGAGACACGTTGAAGTCGTCTGGCAACTGGCCTGTGCTCATCAGGCGCTCGCACAGACGGGATAGAATGCTCTGACCAATGTCACCAGCAACTTTCCACGCGGCGTATGGGACCCCATCGGGCCCTGGAGACGTGTCCTTTGTCCACCCCACGATGTCCTGTAACTTGGTCTCGGGAACGATCCAGGGGTACCGAGAACCATCTTGAGCAATATACTCCTCGGGGTTGGTGGGGATGGGGTCAATATCCTGACACACAGCTTTAATACCTGGGAGAGGAGCAGTGGCAAACTTGAACACTTCCCCCCAATGTTCGGCAAGTAGCCTGGCACATTCATTACCGTCGTCGAAGTGCTGGCCACTAGGACTGGTGACTTGCATCAAGGTGATACGACGACCAGCGGCTCTCCAAGCTCGGGACATTTGCCGCACTCGCTGGATAGCAGCAGCACGCTTCTGGGCAGCAGCGTCCGCGGCACACACTACAACCTCTCTCTGGAGAGCCGCTGCACGCCGTTCGAAAAGCTCACGCATACGACCAGCGAGGTGCAAGTCGAAAGCTTGGCGATCCGTCCACACAGATAACCCAGAGTCGAAAAAAACTCCCAGGGAACTGGAACCACGAACAGCCTTCCGAGCCTTATGGCACCTCCCCGACCGTGCAGCACGCATAAGTTTGATACAACATGCTATATTCTCTTCCAAGCTTTCGGCATCATGCTTACAAATGCATTCACGGACTTGGTGGGCAACATAGTGAAATAGATCTTTCACGGCACACAGCTGGCTGTCGAGTGTGTCACCTAACTCGTCTAAGACAAGCAGATCGGTAAACGTGGACGCGAAAACCTTGTGCTTTGCAACCCAGGTGGCAATCGGGGTACGCCCAGAGGGAGACCACGGACAAAGGGTGAGGAAGACGGGGACGTGATCGGAGGGCTTCTGGAGGTCGGGAGGAGGAGGAGGAAGAGGAGGAGAGGGGGGAGGAGGAGGAGGGAGGACGAGGAGGGGTCATGTCACTGCGCGGGTTGATCAGCCCTGCCCGCCTCTCCAGGGGGCTGAGCTCGACACCCTCCGCGATCTCTTTCTTAGTGCGCACCTCTGGCAGCGTCTCATCATACTCCTCCTCCTCCTCCTCCGGGCTCCCTCCCCCTTCTCCATATATCCTCATCATTCCCCCCCGCAGGGAAAAGCTGCAGGAACACCCGACAAGCCGAAAGAATCTCCTCGTGCTCCTTCCACTCCCCCCACTCTTCCTCCTCCCTCCACCCCCGCCCCTCCCCCTCCTCCTCCCTGGCGCGCACCTCCCCCAGCTGCAGCGTGCCGATAGAGGAGCCGCCCTCGAGCTCATCGACGTCCGCCACAAAGGGAGGTATGCCGATGCTGGCCATGCTCTTAATCTCATCCTTAAGACGGGCCAAACTACCCATCTTCGTACGGCAAGTTCGACCCGTGACGACGGTGGCATTAATCTCTGACACAGCGTGGGTCGTTCAACCTTGAACGATCGCGGCCTTCAAATAACGCAAATCGTTGGACATCCGCCGATTATGGGCCACTGGCGGCGTCCAACCGTGATCGCACGCGCTGGGGTCGCCGCCGCGTCAACGCGGCCTGAACCTACCGCACGTAATCCACCCGTCCTGGCCGTGCCAGTCCTGGAAGTTTGATCGGTAAACGCACAATCTTAGCCTGCCAATGAAAGTGTGCACTCCGACCCAAGAGCCCAGAGTTACCTGGCAAGGGTCGGCGTTGTCCAAATCGCTGGCGCGCCCCCGTCTCCTGGCGCTTCTCCTCGAACTCAACGGCGTACGGGGTCTTGAATCCGCCGGCCCCTCCGAGAGGCCCATCCAGTGGTCATCGCGAAAGTAGGCATGCGAGGCCGTGAGTATGACACAGCTCACAAAAATAAAGAACAAGAGGGGCGCAACCGCCATGCGCAAGGACCAACTGCCACGCGCAGGCCCTACAAATATGCCCCAGCTCGCTACGAGTAGCGGAGCAGAAGGGAGGGGGAGGGCGTTCCTTCCCCCCACCCCTGTTCCCCATTCCTGATACCCCCAGGTCACCGTCCTCCGAGCTGCGTGGTCGCCCATACGTAGAATCAGACCCTTCGAAAGCATGAGACCTTCAGCCGGCCAAAATGATGAGAATTCGAGGGTACCCTCCCCCAGGATGCACGAGAACACCCAACAAGCACGAAGAACACTAAGACACCCTCCCCGAAACGACCTCGATCTTATACCTCGGTCCCGGGAATACCTGGGTCGGCGGACCGGCGCAGGCCACTGGGATATGCGCATCGGCCGGCCCGTGTAGATGATTGTACGCATGGCTCGGGGAGACGTAAGACTCGAGTTCGGGGGACTTTGGTTGGCCTGACAGGCGCATCATGAACAAATCGAGACCCAGTCTTAAATTTGACGCGAGCTCCCGCTGCAGACATCCCACGAGAACAGGACCGTCAAGATCCATGACGAGCTCGTCAACAAGCTTCGGCAAACCCGAGGTCCGGCATACTCGAGTCTTACGTTCCCCCGAAATGGTGTCAGTGTAGTCGCTGGTCACCACCCTCTGCTTGTGGAGAGGCCCAGCGCCCGCCTCATCCGAGGCGATGAAACGCGTGCCCACCCACACCCCGCTGCACCCCATCGCCAACGCGGCCGCCAACCCCCTGCCGTCGAAGATCCCGCCGGCACCCACGACCATCACGGGGTCTCCAGTCAAGGGTGATGTCCGGCCCCTGGTTTATGTCGAACATAGATGGTGGACCTCCCCTGCCCCCCCCCCCCGACCGGGCTATTCGCCCCCGCCTAATTTCGACGCCATCCGGGGCTATCGGCTATCCATCGCTATTCGAGGCTATCCGATGCTGAGGCGATCCCAGGCGTGGACGCCAGAGCATGCAACCACTGTCGAGGCAGAGGTGGTCCCACACAAGTTCCACACAGCCTGACAGCATCCACCACCTTCGGCAGCAGGATCGACGTCGGGACGTCCCCCGTGTGGCCCCCGCCCTCGCCGCCCTGTGCGCAGATAATGTCGACGCCCGCATCCAGGGCCTTGCTCGCATGCTTCACGGCGCCAATCATGTTCATGATAGGGATCCCGGCGGCGTGCAGCTTGTCGACCGCCCACTTGGGCGGGACCCCGACGGCGCAGATGAAAAGGCTGGCCTTCTCCTCGATGATGATGTCTATCAGCTCTGGCAACGTGCCGCCCGTGTAGTCCTTGTTGGTTTTCCGCGCCCCCTCGCCCACCTGCGGTAGCAGAAGGTCCACCCCGAACGGAAGGGACTTGTCTGTCAAGTCCTCCTTCAACATGGCGATTGCCACGGTCGATTTGCGACCCTGAAGACCAGGGGCCCCGAAAACAACCATACATTGGATCCGCAGATCAGCGTGAAACAATCACATCAACAACTTGATGTTGTTCCAAACTGGAGACGGAATTGTTATGTACGGGTGTGCTTGAGCCCGGTGGCCCATAAGGTTGCAAAGCGGCCGTGTGGCGATTTGCTTCCGCAGCGAGTCGGGCTGGAAACCCACCCCGCCAATGCTGCCGATGCCCCCCGCATTTGATACCGCTGCGGCCAGGCAGGGGCCAGCTGCGCCTGCCATCCCTGCCAGCATCACAGGATGCTTGATGCCGAAGAGCTTCGTGAGTGGCGTGGAGAGCGCCATTGACCAAGGGCCGATGCAGAACAGAGCTGTCTGGTCTTGGCTGAAAGGCCAGCGTGGGGTCGCAGCACCTGTCGAGCTGGCGTCTCGGGCCCCGAGAGCGCCTGACTGAGCCAAAACTGCTACGAGCGGCTCTGGACTTCACCTGGCCCCCTGCGCCTCTGAGCCTCTATGGCACACACATGCACCGAATCCATTCCTACCGCGCTGCCGAGCAGAGCCTGGGGATGAATTCGGCGGGAAGAGGTCGGCGGGGGAATCGGCTGGACGACCGAACCCATCCGTAGGGTCTGCCCAGCGACGTGACAGCACCGGGCTTTGCAATTACGTCCCCTCGAGAACGGAACCTGTCAGGTCCTGTGTTACTGTGGTCGTCCGTCGTGCCTCGTGCAACGAACTTCTGTTACATAATATATGTGCAGGGTTATGTGCAGGGTAAGGCTTTACTGCCAGGTGCCCTGGAGGAGTCTATTCCCGATCCGCTCATGGATCAACCCAGGCACTCCTGATCCACGGCTGGACCCCGCCAGAAGCAATCTACGGGGGCATGTGTAAGAGGGAAGGGCAGGGGGTGGAGAGGGGAACATGGGGGCGGGAGGAACTAGATCAATGGCGGAAGGGCGAGAGAGGGAGAGAGAGAGAGAGAGAGGCAGGCCACCCTGAATCTGTAAAACGCCCCCAGGAGGCCTGCCTGACGATGGCTCAAACAGGGCCCGAAGAGGGCGAGAGAGATAGAGAGTACAATGGTTTGCACATACATAAAATACACATACGAACATATGTGTATATGCATACATACATACATACATACATGCATACATACATACATACATGCATACATGAAAACATACAGGGCAATCCGAACCAACCCCACAAGATCGGATGACAATGGACATCATCCCGTAAGGATCACTATACGGGAGCGTACCTCCTGATGGACGACTCTCCAGGAGTCGCTGAATAAGCAGGGCCTGAAACATCCTGCTGCTCTGAGCAGATAGACCGTGCAGCTGCCCGAAGGTAACTTGTTTGGGGCGTCGGGAGGCTCGTGGCTTCTGCGGTCTTGAAGATCTCCTGGGCGTCTCGAGGGTGCCTTGAACTATCTCGGATGTGTTTGGGAGCTCCCTTAGTCACCCTGGGGGCCCATGATATTGGGCAGCTCACATCATCTAAGGGCTGCCAAGGTCAGTCGAAGCCGTGACGCGCGGCCTTGGGGATCCCTTAGGCCGTACTGTGCATTGCTGGCGAGCGTTGCGATGATGCACGGTATACGGTACCAGACAGATGGCCTGGCTCACTCTTCGAATAGAGGCGGCGTCCAGCACGACGTCGCGCCATAGGTGTGCGTGCATGGCGACTCCGCCAGCTGTTTCCTGGAAGGCGCCCAGGAAGGCGCGCAAGGTCGCCACGTGGAGGACCCAGGGCAGCCTCAGTGGGAATGCCCGAGAGCCCCTAACAGCTTGGCAAAACCATGCAGGGAGTTTCTTTCGACGCCTTTTGTGGGACGGTCTTGGAGGGCGGTTGGGGGTTTCTGGGAGGTGGGGTCTCTTGGGTTGTTGTTTGGGGTCCCCTGGTGGCCTCTTGGGACTTCTTGGGCGCGTTCGGGAGCCTCCCTGGGGCTCTTGACGTCTGGGCTCGACGTGTCGACTGGAGTCAACCTTTTACCAGAGGTTTTGAAGGAGTTTGTTTGTCTAACTGAATCCCCTACCACATAGTGGAACAGGATGCTGGGCGAGAGAGGCGGAGGGAGGACCGACGAAGAGATGAGACTGAGGAATGGATGGAACGGAATCGCATAAGGGAGGCGGACAGAGGAAGGCATGAAGAAGAGACGAGGAGCAAGGGGGAGGGACAATGACGCAACGGGGAGGAGAGAGGAGGAGGAAGGAGAAGGATGCAGAACGGAAGACGCAGGAATATCACAAGCAGGAGAGGGAGGGAGGGAAAGAGAGAAAGAGAGAGAGATAAACATAAAAAAGACAGCACAAAGAGAAAGAGCAATAGAGAGAGAGAGAGAGAGAAATACACAACGACAAACGAAGGAAACGGGCAGCGAGGGAGAGGGGAGGGGACGAGATGTAATAAAACAGAACGGAGAGGGGAGGGAGGCGAGATGTAATAAAACATGAGTTTTGGGGAATCCCACCAGCCCTCTGGGCGTAGGTGGTCTAGGGGGCTTTCTCTTCCAACCCCCTTCTTCCCCATCCTTTTCGGGGGGGGGGGGGGTTATCACTGTTCCTTATTCATATGCACCCCCTCCCCCACCCGGCTGGCGTCCAACCAGGAACCATGCCGACTCCATGATGCCCACCCCCCACCATCCCTGTCAAAAACACAATACACACCGCACTCTGCCTCCACATTTGGAGCATGCGCGGCCAACCCGATGCCTCCCCCCTCCCAGTCAAAAACCAATGCAACATACACGTTGGGGCAAAATCTTTAATCATGTTCGTGAGGCCCGCGAACACTCTGTATTGGTTTTGACAGGGACGGCTGGGGTGCCAACATATTCCCTGCCGTGCGCGGGGCTACCATCCCTGAGAAAATGCAATACAGCATGCACCTTGCGGTTAAAACTGGATCATGCGCGGCCATCCCGCGATCATTGCCAACTGGTTTTTGACAGGGACGGCGGGGGTGGTGGCGCGCGGCCTGCTGTGCGCAGGCCCACCAGACACAATGATGGGTATGGTTTTCGACAAGGATGGTGGGGGCCGAAATGTTTCCTGAAGTGTGCTGTCAAGTGCGCAGGCGCACCTGACGCACCCTGCGCGTGCCCCGAACATGGCGCACCTGGCGCTGCTGGAGTGTGCGGCACACCTGGCGCAGTCGGAGCATGTGGCGCATCTGGCGCGCCAGGCGTGCCTGGCACGCTCGGGCCCCAGGGGTGCCTGGCGCACGTGGCGCCCCTGGCACGCGTGGCGCACCTCGCGCAAGCGTCGCGCACCTGGGGCCGACTCTGGTTCCCGGTAGCTGTCCATCAAAAGACGACCGCTGAACATGCGCAGGCTCGGGTGTCGCTTATGTGTTGGGAGGGCGGGTGGGAGTGAGCTAGACGGCTTGCGGGCGGGTGGTAGCTTGACCCTCCTGTACCCCCTCCCCTGGACTTGGACGGAGGTGGTCGCGGGTAGCTCGAGCGCCCAAGGTGGCCCAATACGGCTTCAAGAGGGCCTCAGCAAGTGCAAGATGGCCTCCAAGATGGCACGAGATAGCGCAAGGTCGCCCAAGATGGCTTTCAAGATGCTCCAAGACGGCCCCGAATGGCGAAACAGCTCCCCAAGGAGGCCCACCCAAGAGACCAACATCCTTCAACAACCCAAGGGAAATCACGATGTATGGTTTCCTCGCCTTTTTGTTTCCGATGACCATCCGAAGCCCCAAGATGGCTCCCAAATGGCCGAAGACGGGCCCAATAGGGGCCCAAGAGAGCCCCGAGACGGCCCCATGAGCGCACAAGAGCACCCAAAAACGCTCCAACAGCCGATTCAAAGACTCTAGAAGGACAAGGCTGACTCTGGTCCCCCTCTTTATGTATCGGCGTCTTTCCAATATGGTTCCCATAGCGCCCGCAAAGCTCCCAAGAGCGACCCGAGAGGTCTCCAAGAGGTGCCCGGACGGCTCCAAAAGGCACCCGAAGGGCCTTCGAAAGGCCCCCAAGAGAACCCCGAAGAGGCCTCAAGAGGATCACCGAAGCACCCAAGACGCTCAAAGACGGCCCTGGGCCCACCAATATGCCCCACCCACCCCCCGACGCCCCGAGAGGCCTCCAGACAGCTTCCGGGCGACAACATACGAGGAGACTCTGAGAGGCATTCAAGACGCTTCGTGCTCTTCTGTCCACCTTTTCCCCCCTCCTCACCCGTCTCCGCCCCCCCCTTCCCCCCGCCTCTCCTGCCCCTTTCCTCCCCCTCCTCCTCCTCCTCCTCCTCCTCCTTTCTCCTCCTCCTCCTCCTCCTCCTCCTCCTCCCCTCCTCCTCCTCCTCCCCCTCCCCCGCCCCCTCCCCCTCCCCCTCCTGCCCCTCCCTCCTCCTCCTCCTCCTCCTGCCTCCTCCTCCTCCTCCTCCTCCTCCTCCTCCTCCTCCTGAGCAAAACATTGCGCGCGAGTGGTCCAGCCACGTGTAACGCATTATGAAACAAACGCGCATTACAACGTGTCCTGGGCCGAACCACGCACGCGCAACATTGCATCGTTGCCGACGTGCCTGTGCCCGCCCCCCCCAGCCAGTCCCAACTCTTGACCGCACAAGCGGTCCTCTCGGGCTGAAATGGCTGGGCACGGGGCCCGACGCGAACGGGACACACGGTCTGGCACGCAATGCAACGCACAAGCGCGACACCATCTGCAGCGCGCAGCGAACCTGACTAGAACCCCAACCCCTGAAATCCGCGGGAGAACTCAACCGCGCGCGCGAGGGGGGAGGGCGGCCTCTCTCGTGCAATCTGGAGCGTAGGTTGGGGAGGGCGGCCCCTTTCAATCAACCTACGACGGGTAGAGTGCGATCCCGCGCGAGACGATCAGCAACCGCGCCGCTGGCACTGAGGCGCAGCGTGGCACGAGACACCTGGAATCCAGAACGCAGCGGATGCGCTTGCATCTTGACAAACAAGCGCGCGAGATCTTCGTCGCCGCGGTCCTCGAGAAGGCCCTGGGCACCGCGCCAAAGGATGGCGTGGGAAGACAGACAGCGGCAACAGTCCGCCTTGCCTCGAACACAGGCACCTCTCCACACAAAACCGCCGTCAGCGGAAAGGGCGCCGCCAGGCATGGTATGTCGCAAGGCAATGGGCAACGCCGCGAACTCACCTCCGTTGATGGGCGGAAGCACGGAGAGGAGGGACCCGCGCGCAATGGCAAGAAGCGCGCGCGAGGTCCGACGATCGAGCGACCGCGGGAAAAAGCAAGGGCAGCCCATCCCGCGGTCGCAAAGTCAGGCCACTTTCCATCAAACAAAGAGCCATAGATAAAACGTGTCTCCAGATAAATCCTCGGGGCCCCCTAATAACCAGAACTCGGGTGGCGCATTGGACAGCTCAGGCTTCTGAAGCTCAGGCATGGGCACCAAACGCCTCTCGGCAAGCAAGCGTGGGCGCCCAGGGAGAACTGACAGAGGCCTCGGCAAG